GAATGCAGTTGTGCCAGCATTTGCCTGCTTCTGTGTAATGAGAAAGACAAAAAAGTCACTAGACTTCTGTTGGAATTCGGTTGGTAGTGAATAAGCAATGCTATATCCACAGCTGTGAACTGGCATAGAACTCCCTACAGGCAAAGCCCAAGGACATCACACTCTGTTCCATGCTATGCCAGCCACATCCATCTTTTTCAGAGGCTTTTTTTTTTTTTAGACATGTCTCCTAGCCGTTCATGCTGGCCTCGCGCTGACTTCGTAGCCCAGGCCGGGCTCGAACTCACTATGATCCTCCTGCCTCAGCCTCCTGAGTGCTGGAATTACAGGCATGCGCCACCTCACTGGCCCCTTCAGAGACTTTGTGCTATTTACTCTGCCAGCACACACTAGTGTGCATCTGTCCATCCTCCTCCCCCAGACCCTACTGTGTCGTCCCTGGTACTGACATTTGACTCTAGCAAGGAAGAAATAAAGGTGATATAATTTCATCCTTCTTCAAAACTATTTTTCCAAGAGCAAATCCTATAATTATGATGCAAATATATTTAAGCCCAACCCCTTTAAAAAGCAATACCTGTGGAAATTCTAATACTGAAGTATATAGTAATAATTATATCAAAATATGTATCTGCTAACTGTAACTCCCTATTGTGAGAGTTACTGTTTTGTTTTAGCCAGGGATGGATTTCAAATGTGCAAAATTAACAAATACATTTCATTAAGAATTATCTAGAGTGGGCTAGGTGTAACGGTCTATGCCTGTAATCCCAGCACTCAGGAGGCTGAGGCAGGAGGATCACAGAGTTTGAGGCCAGTCTGGGCTACATAGTGAGTTCAAGGTCAGCCTCAACTACATAGTGAGACCCTGTCTCAGGAAAATATATCATCTAGAGTGATCATAGGGGCAGTGAGTAATTTTTATTTCTCTTTTATGATGAGGAATAGAATTTGTTTATCTCAAAGTTCATTTGGCCTCTTAGCACCAAGTGCGCTCCCACCCCAGCCGCCATAAACCACATTTTGTCCTGTAAGGTACAGCTCGGCCTGGAGTTCAAGGCCTCTCATGCTTTCATTGCATGTCTGGGCGCTGTGGAGGTTGCAAAGGTCTGATCCGTGTTGTGCGGAAGCAGAGGCAGCCATGGGGAAGGACATCCTCAGGCCGCCAAACCTGCTTCTGACCGCCTGGGCACGCAGGCTCTCCCTGCTCAGCACCTTGCTTCACATGCCCTTGCACTGCATCCTCTCGCTCTTTTCTTCATGTTTAGCTTCTCTAAGAGCCCTCCTGCTCCCAGGGTCTCCCAGTTGCTGTCTGAAGACAAACTTCCTGACACGTCAGTCTCCAAAATATCATTCAAGACATAAAACAGCCCAGACTCCTTGCTCAGGCACTGGGGCTCACCAAAACCCAGCTTCTCTGCTAGTGGGAAGGCACTGAACTGGTCAGATGCTGATCTCTCCACCACTTGCCCTCTGCCCACGCCGCATGCTCTGACTGAAAAACCCTCCTGACACTTTTTTTTTTTTCCTCTTGACACTACTGACTGCATATAGTATAGTATGTGAATGAATTTAAGACCTATTTTCAAGGCAGAGTTCAAATTTTAGTTTATACACAACTTCTTCCCTGACTACCACAGTATGAAAATAGAACTCCATCTTTTAAATTATAAACATCATTTATGTCGCCAATACTTAGTATCGAGAGTGGGGTGGGTATCTGCTCAGCCCAGGTAGACACTAATGTGCCTTCAGAGAACCCAGAGTCTGATCAGAAGGTGTACAGATGGTGTGGAGTGAATAATGGTGTGGATGCTGGAATGTTGTAAGTGCTTTTAGCAATTTTGTGCATTTGTTGAGCTCTCATTAGTCTTCAGGGACCAGCGCACTTTTTATGAGTCCTAAGTTATACCTAATGGGTCATTTTACAAAGAAAAGGACTGTAAAGTTAGGTTAATTTCACATGGTTGGTTGGATAAGGAGAGACCAGGTTCAAACTCAGCTAGGTCTGAACCCCTGCCACCATCTGCCCTACTTCCCAGCAACAAGGACACATGTGTTAAGGGAACATGCAGTCATACTGGGAAGAGGAAGTATTCAGGGAGGACCCAAGTACTCGAGAATATCATAAGGTATCTCCATGGAGCGGCGAATGGCTGAGAAAGACCAGAGCTTGTACATAGGCTGAAGAGAAGAAGTAGATTGAGTTAGGCTGTGAAGCACTTTTGCACCCAGTCCTACAGATTGCAGAGAAGCTTCAATATTAATGTCCTGGTGTTCCCATCAAGATAGTTCCTTTGGGGATGGAGCTCAGTGGTACAGTGCTCGCCTGGTATGCATGAAGTCCTGGGTTTGACCCCTAGCACCACAAAGAGAAAAAAATCCTGGACCTTAAGAGTAAGCACCACAGCCCCCGTCTGATTCTCACACACCAAGAACGTACTAGGTACAGAGGGTGAGAGAGTCATGGGCCTTTCTGGGTTGCTTAGCTTTGTGTTTCCATGGTTCTACTGAACTGCATGGATATAGGTATCAATTTTTTTGATAACAACAGATACTACACTTTGTCTTAGCCAAAAGGCCGAGAAGGGATGGTATCTTTTTCTACCAAGGCTTGAAGCCTCAGAAGCTGATCATCAGCCATCATCAGTTGTCATCAGTACTGAAGAGGTCATCTTTACTATTATCAAAGTCCTTGCCTCTTCATTCCCTGGGGTCCCACCAGAGCTTCTTCATTCCCTGGGGTCATCCATATCACAAAGCATCTGAAGGTCATAACAGTAACACTGAAGAGCACCATAGTAGTAGCACTTAAAATATTACAAAGCATCATGTGCTTTTTCCCATTTAACCCTAAGAATGGTAAAAATTAGATTCTCTTGTGCTCACTTAATAAAGAAATGGAAGCTGAGGACGTTAGACCTAACGTCTAACGTCTTGGGAATGCAGGTCTCCAACTCCAATGCTATTCTCTTACTTATTTATGAAATCTACCAGGCAGAGGTCAAGAAACTGGTCAGCCCCTAAAAAGGGACCAAAGGAAGGATCTGCTAAGATCTTGAAGAAACCAACATGTCTAGCTCTATCTTGCAGTCCAGTCAAATTTCCATGCAACAAATCTAGAAGTATTTAACCAAGTTATGACCAAAGAAGTACATCCATAGTATCAGACTCTGGACTTCAACTGCCCAATGGGTATCAGAGATCCTCCACCTCTTTTGAAGAACAGTTTGTCAAAACAACTAGTTTCTAGCTCTCCAGCTCCTTCCTCACCACACGAACCTCTATTTATCCAAATGTCTAAGATTCTGTGTCCGGCACTGTCCTAAAAGCTGGCAATACAACAGATAACACAAAGGAAGGCTAAGACTCCAGGACCTTAAAGTTTAACATCCACCAAAGCCAGGCATAATGGCACATACCTGTAATCCCAGCACTTGGGAGGCTGAGGCAGGCATGTCAGTGTTTGAGGCCAGCCTGGGCTGTATGAGTTCAAGATCAACCTAAACTACATAGCAAGAGTCTATCAAAAATAAATATTAAAAATCTAATATCTTTCAAAGGTGACAAAGATGATGTTTTCCAGTGTCACAAGTAACAGAGGTGGCGTTGGGGTAAAAGTCCTTCCTAGAGAAGGGACATTTGCGGTCATAGACAAGAAGGCTGACGGCAAAGCACCAGGATCCACCTTATACTTGGTAGTTTGGAAAGGATGTTAGTGACTGCCCCGCCTCAACTGCTAGATGGTCACAAGCACACAGAGGTTCAGTGGGATAGAAGGCTGCGACAGGGTCTTTGACAGACTGCAGTGGCATTTCTTCCCATTATTCTGCAGGGACTCAAATATAAGCATTTTACACTTGTGCTTTTAATCACTCCATGCACATTCATATTTATAATCTCATTTTCAGAACCCTGGGGGAAAGGTGATAGGCTTTTGTCTGACAGATGACAAATCCGAGGTGCCAGTTGGCTAAGCAACTTACCTAATGGCCTGTTACAAGCAGCCGAATTAAACCCTAGTTATTTGTATTGCAGAACCATGTTCTTTTCCCCAGATGAGAAGCCACCTGGGTTGGAGTCTACAAACATCAGACATTATTGTTAACAGCTTCCTATTTTATGGTGCCCAGAACATAAAAAAGTCAAAGAAAAAGCAATTTACCTAAATATAACCCACCACATCCCCGAGTTCTTTGTGTGGGAAAGGAGTCCCACGTGACTGGGCTACTACAACCTGAGGCAATCAAGGCCCTGGGACTTTTGGATACGGGACACAGAGAATCAATACCGTAGTGCAGGAATTTTAGAAAACCAGGAGCAGTTTCTCTTGCATAGAAGCCAAGTCCAGCCAGGAGTCTTCACAGCTGGGGGCCCTGAGGCAAACCGCAAGCTGAAGTCTCTGGACACATCTGCCTAGGGAATTAGTTACTAGGTTTTCCCAAACCTGCCTGCACATCTGAATCAGCTGGGAGAACTTCAAAGGAACAAGCCGCCCAGAGATTTAGCAACTTCAAAAGGAAGAGCCTGGGGAACTATGTTTTACAATTCAGTCAGCCTAGAAATCCACCAGTTTTTCCTCACTTCTTGGTGCTGCGTGACACAGCAAGGGCAGATGCTTGGTTTCCTTACCCAGTGGCAAGGTTGCTGGGTGAAGGGCTAGAGAAAGTCTCCTCTAATACCCAAAGCTTCTGCGCAGTCGGAAGTCGTCGGAGAGCATTCTAGGGGGCTGTGAAATCTGTCGTCTCCCTATCCTGGCTGCACATCCAGCCCTGAGGAACTTTTCTGGGATCAATTTTCCAATCCTTAAGCGAAGCAGAGCTGGAAACCCTCTCCGACCCTTTCTCAATGCCTGGGAAACCCCGCCCCTCCCTAACCCCAGCCACCAAGCGCCCAGCTGGTGCCCTCTGCCAGCTACTCAGGGACGGGCAAGAAGGAAGACAGTTCAGGCCCAGTTGGCACAGCACCTTCAGTCAGGGGACACAAGCCAGTTCTTACCTGTGCCTGGAAGGAATTAGAGCGGCTGTCACTTGGGAATTCTCTCTCCCCGGAGCTCTAGTCTTGGAACTCAATGGACTTTGATCAAAGATTGATTTAAAAGCTGATGTGTTTAACAGGGATGTGTGGTCTGAGTTCAACTGACCTCTGTCCTGCTTCCAGCCAACTGGCTGGACCCTAAACTGGAAAATCAGAAAAACCGTCAGCAGCCCAGCCCTCTGGCCCACCTACCGGACAATTCCAGGCTGTCCTGTCTGGTTCCTTGTCTGCAGTTCCCAGACAGGCAGAGGAGGGAATGGACGGGCGGGAGGAGGCGCCTCTGCCTTCCTGTTTGCTCCCTGGCGCAGATGCTGTGCTCACATCCAGTCAACCCCCAACCTGCCAGGACCTCCCCATCCTTGGGGCAGGGCCACAGGTCGTCACCAGAGCCACTTTCCTGGGGGTAGAAACCCATCCAGCTCACCCCCCCCCCAAGAAGGCAAGAAGCGCGGTACACCCGCAAAAGCAGCAGAGCCCCTCTGCTCACGCAGCCTTCCTGCCTTGCCCTAGGAGCTCGGACCCACGCTGCCCTGCAGCAAAGCCCAGGCTCAGGGTGCCCACATGCTCTTCTTTCCACGAGCTCCCCTCACCTCTTTGGTTTTTCTCTTTCCCGCCTTTGTGCAGTTTCCATTTACCACCTTCTGATAAATGTTAGGAGCCTCTCGGCCCAGCAGGGAGTGCAAGGCACCCGGTAGCGCCCCCACCAGCCAGGAGGAGTAGCCGACCTCTGTGAAGCGCACAGGCCCACGCAGACCCTCCTCACTCACCTGGACCACAGCCAGAGATTGCTGCAGCAGTGAGGCGAGAAGCTCGGGCCAGGTTGGAAGACTCGCCTTTCCTCCACCTGGGCAGCCAGGCCTCGTCTCTGGGCCTTGGCTTTGCCCCCAGTTCAGGCCTGACCTGAGCAGTGCCCACCAGGTCTAAGTTGACATCTGAAGGACTGTCAGACGGAACAAGGTCCGCTTCTACCTTGAGGCTATGCACTGGCCTCTCCACCTCCAGCCTGACTCCTGGAGTTGAGTGGGAAAACCTGGATTTAGTATCAGGACACTTTAAATACCAAGGCTGACACTTCCCAGGTGTTTGATATAGATTAATTCCTTTTCAACGTGTGTACATGCATGCGCTCACATTGCTAAGGACTGAACTTAAGGCTTTAGACATATCAGGCAAACTCTTTACCACTGAGCTACACCCCTAATCTTCATTTTTAATTCTTTGAGTAGCCTCATCACCTATAAATACCAACTGTTTTTAGAAATTTCTGTTTTATATTGAGTCAAAATATCCCTTACATTTTCCTTCTGGTGATCATTTGTTCTACAAAGTAGCTGCTCAAATATTCAATGGCTTCTCTATCCCAAAACCCTTTTAGGGTTCAGTTGGTGTCCCTCCTTTAGCAGGGCTGATTGCCCCCACCGTGACCTCAAGGGCTTCTCACTGCGGACCCCAGATGATTGGTAACATTAATAAATAAAATCAATGCATGAAGTTTTTAAGATGAATTAGGTAATATCTTTAGTGTGGCCACACAATTGTTACCAAAATTCACTAAATTATACATCTAAAATTCATGAATTATATAGCATGTTAATAATTCTTTATTTTTTATTAGTACTAGGATTAAACCCAGGGGTTCTCTACCATTGAGCTACCCCCAACCCAGTTTATTTATTTATTTAGAAATGGTATCTCACTAAGTTTCTCAGGGTAACCTAGAATTTACAATCCTTCCTCTGCATCCTGAGTACTATAACTGGGATTATAGGTTTCCAATTTAATATCTTAATTTTTAAAAAAAGAATATGTCAGTGAAATTTATTATTGAAGCTTCAGAGAGAGAGACAGACAGACACAGACAGAGGGAGGGAAGGGAGGAGCAAGGGGAAGGTGAGGAGGAAGGAGAGGGGGAGGGGGAGAGGGAAGGAGAG